AAGTGTTGTTTGGCAGTACTTTCAGTTCAAAGAAGGTGATTCTAGTCGAGCTACACGTTCAATTTGCAATGCTGATCTGTCTCTTGGTGGTAAGGACCCTATACAGTACACAACATCGCCGCTTAAAACATTTGCGTATGAAACATTAATGGACTGAGGGTGGAGTAAGATTCGGATTCGGCAGAATCTTAACCAGTCGATTCAGTATTTGGCCGAACACCAAAAAAATGGATTCGGTACATCCCAAATTTATATGCCTTTAGTTGTTTAGATGTTAATGCACTTTTTGCATTTATAAGATAGTTCACAATGCAGCACTCAGCATCATTCTCCAGGTCGTCCTTCGCAAGCGTATATGGATCTCTACTCGCAATCAGTCCCATTTTTACATCGTATTGCTGGCGTTCCTTTACCTGGAGGCTCTCCCTGTGTGACTTCAACTTCTGAGAAGTCATTGTCCATTAATAAAATAGGCATCCTTTTCAGAAGATTCTTCTAATTAGTTTGTCTATGTAAATAAGTGCGGAGTGCCATACAAAATGGTGACCGGAAGTCTGCTGCCGATATTGTGGGAACTATGTGTAGTGGTGAGCCAGCTAACTGCTGAGCTCTCCCAGTCTGGTGATTTGACCTAGCAACATGATGTAGCTACCTCTTGGTACTTCTGCTCTCTCTCCAATCCAACATCTCTCCTGGTATGATTAGTCTTTTGCTTAAGTGGCAAGCTGGACTTGGGCCACCATATTTGTGTCCGCTAGAGGGCGCATAAACGTAAAAATAGCCTCGAATTACGTTTTGTTTACGTCTCCACTTCCGTCTACTGTGTTTCATCGCGCCAGCCTTCTCTTGCTCCAGGTAGTAGAGTTCTAGTGTCCATGCCATTATTTGTAAGTTGCAGCCACTAATGTTAATTGTTGTTGTAGTGCCGCGGTGAGGCCTTGTAGCCCCGCTAGTCCTTCTTTTATATGGCCATGCTGTCTTGTCGCTTTGGCGTCTGGCCTAGGGTGACCACCTGCTAATAAGCCCAAGGGGGGGACAAGGGGTATGTTTCCGAGGGACAATGTGGGACACTGCCTGGTGCGGCGGTGCCCCCACCCCACGGACAGACTCACTGCCCTATTTCTTGCCCATACCACCTTACATGGTATATTAATAATGCCCTATTCCCCTAAACATGCGTAATTGCTGATTTATGCTCATGAATAGGGCAACCAATGTGTATTTTCTTCTAAATAAAGATTCATCATATTTTGAACATTGAATTGAATGAATTGACAGATGCATTTCCACTTACGTTTTACTTTAGCTATCTAATTTTATTTATTTTTCATAACAATTTATTCACTTGAATTATAATGAATTATAACATGAATTGATAGGATTAACAGGAATTGTAGTTGCTCAACACAACAGGAACAGTTGAAAAAAAAGTCAACTCACAACTCCAGAGGTTCACGGAACGAGAAGGGGGAGGAAGGATGGTGAACTTGCATGTTAGTAAAGGCAGGCGCAGCCGTGCAGAGGGAAAAAACTGTTCAGTGTTCTAGGGACAACTTTATACTTTGGGGACATCTTTGGGACTTAAACCTTTTCACCAGCATCTGAATCAAATAAGGAAGAAAGATCAGAGACAGAATTAAAGCAACATTCATTTTATGATAAGCTTCCGAATGGAGATACAATCCTATAGAAAGCAATGACATATTGACCTAAAAGGCTACTGTTTCCAAAAAGTGACACATTTGCACCCCTGTAGACACTCCACCAATGTTCAAAATCAATCAAACTTCATGGGGTCTTACATAACTAGGTTTCTTACCTTCAGGTTTCTTCTTAAACTTGTATTTCTTGTTGGAGTATACAGCATTGAGGAGAACCTTCTCTTTCACTACGTAAGTGTAGAAGTCCTTGCAACTGAATGTGAAGTTGCTCTTCACCTGGATTTCTGACTTGATGAGGTTTACCGAACATCTGTTCCTTGTGTCCGTCCAGCATCCTGTCATCAGTGAAAATACCCTCTCCACTGAAGCATTGGTGATTGGTACACTCAAGAGGAAAGAAGCAAAAGCTGTCATGTTTGGTGTGTGTGTGTGCTTGAGTAAGGTGGACCACTTCTCCACCACTGGAGCTCCAGACTGCACAATGGCCCGTTGGTGTGGCAGAACAACACAATAATCATCATATAGCGCATCCATGTCCAACTTCTTGCTTAGTTGCAGGACCTCTACAGCTTCACAGAGATGGGAGAAGTTGAATGGGCTCTTTAGTGCCAGGCTAGCCACTTTCGTCTGGTAGTTGGAGTCTGAGAAGTCATAGCGCTGCTCCAAGTAGGTGAGAGAGGACTGGTAGAAAGTGCACATGTCCTCTCTGAGCACAGCTGCCTGTCTGTCTGGAAACTGCTGGAGGAGTACACCCGTCTGGGCTCCTAAGAAACCATCACTCTGTCGTTGCTGTAGCTTGGTTTTTAGGGTGAACATAATATCGTACAGACAGTACCATCTTCTCGCTCCAGCACCAGCACAGTGTCGTGGAAAATCTTGAGCGCATTGCTGAGGAAGGACAGGTAAACCTAAAAGAAGTAAGGAGAGTCAATGATCCTGTGTGCTGGCACTGGTTGCATTATCATAATTTCTCTAATCCATGTTCCATGTAATAATATGTAGATTAAAAAAAGTTGAGTGCAATTACAATTAAGTACCTGTAGATCAAGGGGGTTGCCCTCACCATCCTGGTCATCCTTGAACAGCCGCCATAATGACTTTGGGCACTGGTCCTCTCCCAGTGAGAGAAAGTATGTCTTGATAGGAGCCCAGCTGTCGTGAAGCCTCTTCACTGCAGGCCACAAGCTCAGCCATCTTGTGGGCACATGTCTAAGCAGGGACTGGTACTCTATCTCCACAAAGGTGCGATTGTTGTTCTCTTTCAGTTTCTGGAAGACCGAGTTGTATCTCCCGTAATTCACACTAGCGTTGTCAGCGGAATACGCAGATATCATGTGTAGTCCCAGTCAGTGTTCCTCCAACTTGGTGACTATCTGGTTGTGGATTGCAGCAGATGTTTCATCACTGTCATCATAGAAATCAAGGACCTTCGTCTGTGCTCCCAAGTCTGGCGTCCAGTAACGCACTGACAGTGGAAAGAGCTTGGTGGTCCCATGATTGGAGGCATCTGAAGCCACTGAGAAGAATGGAGTGTGGGCTATGGACACACACACAGATGGAATGAACTTAAGAAAGATTTTCTAAAAACAGATTATTAAAAATACAAGATACCACTTTACTGTTTTGATTATTTTTGATTTTATATCAATATTATCTATAGAAATATGTATACCCTTTTAAAAATTAAATTTGCTTTTATTTGTTTAGTTAACAAATAGTGAAATGTTGCTCATAATCATGTAAGGGCGACGGTGGCGCAGAGAGTAGAGCGGGTCGTCTTGTGACCAAAGGGTCGGTAAAATTGGCTTTTAACATAGAAGATGATTAGCTAACATTAGCTAGTTAATGTTAGACAAATAGCTAACACACAACAATGTGCATGAACATAACGTTTACTTTACCTTTGTTTGTGGCCTCTCGTTGCTCATTCAGTGGTCTTTTGCGGACTTTCAAGCAATCTTCGACAGAGGCAGGAGCAAGCACATCCGTGACAATGGCTTCTGCCTTCGTCCGACCACAGGCCATCCTCTTGGCAATGTCCGAATCCGGATAAATCGTTGGGGCTAGCTTTGTGCCACAATCTCCTGCTCTATATGATGCAGCGTGTTGGACAGTGTGATACACATTCGTCACCTCTGCAGCAGTCACTTTGTCAGCTAGAAAGTCGTTTTTAGGTCGGAGAAAAGCATCCATAGATTTGGATGTCTCTTTCTGTTGGATACGTTTCTTGTGAGTCCCCGTGAGTCTGTGTCGTTTGACATCGTATTCCCCTCCATGTTCGATGGAAAAGGACGTTTTACAAAAGTCACAAAAAGCCCTCTCAGTATCCCCATTTCAGCCACAAATATTCATTTTCCCAGTCTTTGTTGTACCCACACCTTCTCTTTTTAATTGATGATGGCGCTGCCTCAGACTGAGTCTCTTTCTCCATTTTTCTAATTGGAAAGCGGCGAGTGCCCGCATCCCAGTGTGTCTAGTGTCTAGTCAAAAGTTTAACTGAGGGGTGGGTGGGGCAGTAGCGTGTTGAACTGTCAAGTAATGTTTGTTTGGCTGCCTGCGGCTCGAGGATATAGCGAGACCAATTTTGTTGTTGTTGTTGCAAGCATTGATTAATGATTATGCGTGACACGGTCTCAATTTGCGGGACGCATGAATTGGGCTTCAAACGCTGTGCGTGCACGCGCTACGTGGGACGGGTGGTCACCCTAGTCTGGCCGCCCTCGTTGCTGGGGTCCAAGCGTGTTGCAGCTGGCTGTGGGTCTGGGCCTTTAAACCGTTGCCCGTCAAGGGTGCGCGCTCAGCTGCACACACTAACAGTATTGTGGTTGTTCATAAGCTAACTTGACTCTACTGTTATCTATAGGCTGGGTCATGGCTACATCGCGGCCCACCGCTGTTTCTCCTGTTTTTCTTTCGCATCCTCTCCTGTGTTGCTCCTGAGTCCATCGCGACAGGAAATGTGTGACTGTGGAATTGTCAAACCTGATGATCAAACTATACAGCTACTGTAATAAATCAAAGTAACTTGTATTTGTCTCTGCCTCAATTTGATTTAACGAACCTGTTCGCTGTAGTGCGCTTTTTATTTTATCTTGTGCACCCTTGCCCTGCGTTGTTAATCTACTTTCTTTTATTTGTTATATTATTTTAGGAGCGCGTAGCCCCCTCGACTTGCCACACTTATGTCTGTATGTTAACTTTTAACTGTTAAGTGTCATTAAATGTCATCTTTTTTGATCCACCTGTTTTGGACCTAGTATCTCAAAAGCGATTATTACATGTTTATATTATTATATTTTCAGGATAACAGTCATTATTTATCATTTGCTTATTTTTCAGGCAGACATCGGGGACGCAAGAGATGGGGACGAGGTCAGGTTGAAAAGAAATGGGAAATTAATAAGATAAAAGGTATGAGCTTCTCCACAGCCAACCCTTCCCCAGAGAGAAACCATGTGGACAAACACATCTGACCAGAGAGAAACCATGTGGACAAACACATACATCTGACCAGAGAAAGACCATGTGAACAAACATAAATTGTACATTTGTAAATGTTTTGTACAAATGTACTTTGTACTGTTTTTACCCTGGACATTGTCAGAGAAGAAGCCTGTCTCACATTTTCAGGAAGTCTGTGCCAGATCTTAGCTGCATGAATCTGAAACGCTGCCTCCCCATGTTTAGTCCTGATTCTGGAATCAGCAGGAGGCCAGTCCCTGTGCTCCTCTGAGTCTGAGTTTGTTCATTTGGCACTATAACATCACAGATTTGGTGCTAGGCCATGGACAAACTTGTAACAAATAGAGCTGCTTTAAAAAGGTGCCGTATTACGACTTGACTTTTCTCTGGTTTAAACAGTGCTATTTGGCCTTCATACACATGCCCAGAGTAGTTTTTTCAATGATTCCCTCAAGCTTTAGTTACAGAACGATCTTTCTCTTTCATTCTTGAGGCACAGAAACGGCTCGATTCAAATTGTGACGTGCACCAATCCGTGACAGAAAAAGCCTGCCTCCAAGAGGTGATTGACAGTGGGGAGAAACTGAACCAGTGAATCAGCGCCACCTATGATCAGCGCATGCAGTCTCTCTGAGTCCATCGTCTGGTCCATGGACAGTAAAAACGTGTCTGTGCTTGTTTGTGTTAGCTTCATGTCAACGTGGAGAAAATGTGACAATATTATTTAAACCGAAGACTGAGAATGAGGCGAACGGGGATCTGCCTTGAATTGGCGAGTCTGAAATCGGAGACAAAACAAGATGACATCATCTCTATGCACAAAATGGCTATAATTTGACAGGTTTTGAGTGTTGTATAGTGTATCACCCAAATTATTATCACACATGTGCATTGGATGGACTGAGAAAAAATAAGAATAAATATGGCACCTTTTTAAGTCTATTCTCTGAGCCACAGGAAGCAGAGACCTGTGACCAGGACTAATGTGATGGTCTGGGCTCGAGTTGCAGTGTTTTAAATATACCGCAGTTGTTTTATAGCTTGTTTGCAGAGACCAGTGAGCAGCTGTAAGAGGAATCTAATCGACTGGCAACCAATTTAGGAGAATAATTGTAATAATAATGAATTGGTTTTATACAGCGCATTTCAGAACTGCACAGAATTATTCATTCACCACTGTGTTTGGAACACAGTGGTGATATACTACTAATGTAGCCACAGCTGCCTTGGGGCACATTGACAGAAGCGAGGCAACCTGTCTGTACCATCGGACCCTCACACACACCAGACTTATTCTAATTTAATTGAAATGTCTTGCCTGAGGATACAACCAGTTTGGCACTTTACAGCTGCAGTTGCCACAATGTGGCACCTAGTGTTCCTAGAGGTATCCCATCGCAGTCCTAACCAGGCCTCTACAGCTTCAGAGGTCTGATGGGATCTGGCTTTTGCATGCAAGTATGGCCACAAGAAGTCTGACACTATATGTTTGATTCTAGCAATGGTTTTTTGCATGGCTTTAATTGAAACATATACAGTACAATGAAAATATTCTTACTGAACTTGAGTTTAATTGGACGAGATGCAGGTCTTTGCTGTTTGACTGAAAGGTTTTTTTCTTGAGGCTTGATAGAGGCTTGTTATACATTAATTGTACAATTATTACAATTTTGACTACAACATTACAATACAATATATTACAATATTGACTGGGAAATGTCTTCTATGTTTCATCACTAATTATAATTTGGTTCATTTTCTTTTTAAAGGTAAACACATATGCCATCCTATTGTTCCACATGATCATGATTCTGAAGAAGGTCTTGAAGGTATGTATGTCTTAGACTCAGTCTAATGGGGCGTCATGCTTTGCGGCGACTTTCAATGCAATGTCAATGGTCACGTCCGTTCGAGCGTGGAACTGCATGTGCGTCGCGGCACGCATGCACAGACTGCGCCGCAGAGGTGGCAGAGGCACAGGAGCAGCAAATAGACGCAGGCAAGAGATAAACATTGTTGAACTTTTCCCACTGGTCGCACGTGCAGCGACCAATCAGAGAGCCGAAAAGTGGTCACGGGGACACTAGCAGTCTAGCGAGCAGACTGAAAATACTCGTAAACAGCCAAAACAGGAGCTACACCAGGACTAAACCAGGATTGACAATGGGGGACACAATGTTTGTGAACCTATGCCTCCAGTACTTCAGGTCTGAACGCCCCTAGCGTCTGAAATGTAGAGAGTGCGCATGGAAGCTGCGTTCAAGCATCGGCGGTAAGACAGTCTAACTTAGGGTGTATTCAGACCTGCACATTTGCTCCACTTTAAACAGACCAGGATTCGTTTGGAACTCCGATCCGAACCTTTTATGCAGGTCTGAATACACACACACGAATCCTAGTCCGGACCAAAGAACCGAACAGAGACCCACTTTTTTAGGTGGTCTCGGTCCGCTTCCAAACGAATTATGGTCCAAATCGAATCAGGTCTGAATACATCCGGTGTCGATCCGACACAACTCCAAGATACGCATTTTTTGGGCTTAACAAGCCGTAGACAGAAACTGTGAGGAATCAGCCACGCAGTCCAACCCTCAGCAGAGGATTGTCCCCCCCCTTCAAACTCCTATATGAGTCCCAACCCCAGGCTTGGCTCCAGGGTGGGACCCTGCAATCCATGGTGGGGTTTGATCTCCGCTTCATCTGACTAGGACCTGTTTCCATGGGAAACCCCACCAAGGGCATAAAGCTCAAGGAAACAGAGCTCCTAGGATCATCCGAGTATGCAATGAATTCTCCCCCCACCTCCATGGGGGGAGAATTCAACAAAACCAAAGATTTGAAAGATCTGTACCTTGTATCATCTCGTATCACTTTAGTTTTATCCCATACAGTTCTGCAAAAAGCTAGCAGATGGTGATGTCACAAGCTTGCTCTAGGCTTGTGGCAAAATGAGGGACAGACAGGTATGGGTATTTAACTTTTTTTATATATATTATATATATATATATATATATATATATATATATATATATATATAAACTACAACAAAAACAGATACAAAATAAAGAATGAGGTGTGAGTATGTGAGCAATGGAATGTGAGCAGTGTGTGCAAGTCAGTGAATGAAAACTAGTGTATGTGTGTATATGTCTGAGTGTGAAACCAAAGCTAATCTTAATTAAATAACAAACAAAGAAACAATGATCCAGTACCTGGAGGGAGCAGAGCAGAGAGAGAGAAGAGCTAGTCAGAGACATTTTTATGCACAGGTGTGTCCGATCACTGGGTCCTCCCAGTTTGAAAGGGAACCGCCCCTGTCAGGTAGGGAGGGGCCGTGACAGTGAACATTTGTAATGTTTTAGTGCGACATGCGTTCACACCGCCAACGCAAGACGGGGCCATCTCTGTGTCTCTGAATTCCGAGACCTTCCAGAGATTTCATATTACAGCAGTAAGTGCTCACGGAGCTGTGCCATGGATTTATTGTATAATTAATCGGTACTTCTGTATCAGGGGACACGTTAGCAGCACTTGTATACAGTCATGGGAGAATGAGAACATGAGTCATGTTCACAAGCACTTATTGATTGCCGCACATGCATCTGGTGATAAAAGCTCAACAATGCATGTGTCACCATATCCATAGCCTATGCTGCGCTGGACAAATCACGCATGGTCTGGTGTGAACGACCCTTAACCCTCTATGGGAGATACCCCCTGGCTGAAAATTATTATGGGATAACACTGTATCGTTCTAATGGGTTACATCCATTTGTCTGATGATAACCCTAACTCTGAGTCTTTCCAGATTGAAATGGTTTTCTTCACTGATCCATGACCATCTTACTGTTTACTCCCATATTCAGACTCGGATGAAACCACAACGGAATGTCCAACTACAACCACCACAACAGAATGTCCAACTACAACCACCACAACAACTACAACCACCACAACCACGAGGAAATGTGCAGCTACTACTACCACTGGAACCTTATGGATCTCATTTACAACTACTACTGTGCCACCTACTACAACTGGGCCACGTACTACTACTACTGTGCCACCTACTACAACTGGGCCACGTACTACTACTACTGTGCCACCTACTACAACTGGGCCACGTACTACTACTACTGTGCCACCTACTACAACTGGGCCACGTACTACTACTACTGTGCCACCTACTACAACTAGGCCACGTACTACTACTACTGTGCCACCTACTACAACTAGGCCACGTACTACTACTACTGGGCCACCTACTACTACTGCGCTACGTTTTATATTTAGACGCTATCCTTCAGGGCTTTGAATTTGAAATTCTGAAATTCTGGTTGCTAAAACTATGTTAAAGCTAATTCATTCTAATGCTAATTGTAAACATGGCTTAATTTTTAATTTTTAAATATACTGTAACCACCACTTCTACAACTTCCTCTTAGAGCTAGATAACAATGCTAAGCTGTAAGCATAACATTAGCTCATTTTAACCTTTTACTCTCATCTGATGGATTTTATTCGAACAAAATACTTGGGAAAAGATTAACCTAGGACATGTCCACCAAAGTCGTTTATTTTAACCACAACTGATGTTGTTTTGGTAGATGTTTGGCATGAAGACAGTGATTCTCAATCTTCATAAATTCATTGAAGCAAGTGACTGTTGTTGTTTCCTTATTGGGGGTTATGGGTTATGACATCTGTTGTAGAATTACATACCCCAAAGCAAGGAGAAAGCTCAGAGGTCTTTGTCTTAAATCAGGAGCGTAAGTTTATTGTACACACGTGCGGAGAGCTAGCATATACAAAAGGCAGCATACCCAGCTCTGGGGCGCAGAGCTCAACTTCCTGTTTACATAGACACACATGAAAGACAGTCACGCCCACAACAGATGGGAGGGGGCCACCGGTGCAGGAGGCGCATAGGGAGGCGCCATCCCCGTGGTGAGGCAATCAGACACAGTGGCATGGGGGTGTGAACAGACAGACAATGGTAGAAATGCAGGCATAGAGATGCAAGATGCGAAAGACACAAGGGTGTGACAGACAGCAGAGACCTTCACAAAGCTCAGCATGGCGTCAGAAGGTCGTCTCTGCATTGATAAAAGGCCTTTTACGTCCGTGTATTTGCTGCGGCTGGTTTTAATGTAATTACTCTAAAAACTGTCATTACACTCCCCTCTTTTGATAATTCAAAACCATTTTTGCATTAATCAGTTAAATACCAGAGGCATCGTAATCACATATGTACAGCAGGATTTACTCAAGGCCTCCAACCAAGCAGTGTCGTCGGAAGCAAGGCTGCGTTTAATGCGTGTCATGGCTTGAATCACAGGGTTTTGAGTTTCAGAGGAAGACAATATTAACATAATAAACACGGTCAGCACGGAAAGTACTGTCAGCGTGGCCAGCATAACAGTCCAAGGGCCCATGCCGGTCTTAGCCGGGCTACATTCGGTAGTCTTTTCCGCGGGAATACTCACGAACAGTGCCGTCTCGCAGTCAGTGGCACCGCTCCCTATGAGCGTGTGTGGAGCGTTAGTGGTCATGGCGATGTTTGGTCTTGGAGCGGCAAGACTCTAATTGCGTTGAAGCCTTGGCCTCAGCACTCGGTTGGGCAGAGTGCTCGGGGTTTGGGGTGTGGAGACCATGGCTTGAGCACGCTCCAGATCGGCCAGGCCCAAAGCTCGTTTGATGGGAGACCTCATGACAGCACGCTTCACCATGTGCCTCATCAGGAACTGTAGAGCAGCCCTCATCTCCACCTCCTCCGGACACACGGGGGACGAGACACCAGGGGGCACTCCAGCAGAGCTCAAATCTGCATTATGGCCAGAGGGAGCAGGCTCTGGAGAAATCTTTGGAATGAGCAGCAGCTCTGCATACTTGCTGCAGCTGAGCAGAGCGCTCAGGGCCTTCATGGCTCCCAGGCCTTGGGGTCCGGGGGCTGGGGAGTTGGGCAAAGGGGGGTCGCCTCGGGAACGCTGGGAATCTCTGGGTGTTGTTGTTGGCCTGCTTCACCGATGGTGGTCGCACGCCGGCCGACCTCTTCAGCGTAGGGAGCCGCGGATGGGCCTGGTCCGTCCGCGCCCTCGGTGTCCTCGTCTATGGCCCTCAGTGGCAGCACCGCACGACAGTGGTTGGCGTGGATCCAAGTTGTCCTCTCCGCGACCTTAACGGCAGTGTCCGTCACCAGGAGGGCGAGGAATGGGCCGAGCCAGCGCTTGGACCGCCAATGCTTTCGTCTCGTTTCCTTCACCAGGACCCAGTCGCCTGGCTTGATCCTGTGCAGAGCCGCCTGCGCAGCCTGTGGCAGGGCGCTCCTGACCTGGGCAGAAATAGAGGACAAAAGTGCATTAATTTCCTTACAATAGGACAGCATGTCGTCATCACACAAAGAGGTGCTTGGCAGATCTCTGTTCGGGGGTCCCGCGCCCAAGTTGGGTGGTCTGGCACAGAGGATTTCGAATGGGACTCTCATGCGCATGTACATGAGGGCTAGCGGCAGAGCTTTGAGTGCCATTCTCTCGCTCGCACGCGCCTCCGGACCAGGGGGCGTAACTGCAGTGTTTACGTATATCAATGCCCAGAAATTCACCCACTTCCTCAATGACTTTTGCTACAAAGTGACTGCCATTGTCACTAGAGATTTTCCCTCGGGACACCCCATCGTGGCACAATTTCTGTGAGCAGAGCTTTCACCACCGCGTTGCTCGTGGCGTGTTTGCATGCAAATATTCAGTCCATTTGGACCAGAGATCCGCCAGAACCCAGACAGTATTACTTACCTTGGCATGGTGTGAGTTCAACAAAGTCCCTTTGGACATGTTGAAATGGGCGCAGGGGCGGAGGATGAGCAGCCTGTTGGATACTTTTGGGACTTACCTGGGTTGTGCGCGAGGCATATAGCGCATGTTTGGCAGAATCTCTGTGCAAATGCCGTAAACCCCTTTGTATACCAATTTTGTGTGATTAAATCACACATCCCTCCTTTTGAGGCATGGTCTCGACCATGTGCTAAAATTGCAAACTGTCTGAAGAAATGCCGTGGTAGGCACGGTTTGCTGTCTGGTCCCAGCCACACACACCATGCCGTCGTTGAGCCCCATTCCCCTCCCACAGCAGCGTCTCTGCTGGAGTAGCCAGTGCCTGCATCGCTGACAGGGAGGAGAAAATATCAACGTCTTGAGTGAGGTAGTGTGTGTGTGTGTGTAGAGGTGCGTATGCCGCTGCCTTGTCCGCGCGCCGATTCCCTGCAGAGATGGGATCAGTGGCATTAGTGTGGGCCTGGCATTTGCATACAGCGATCTCTAAGGGCATCATTACAGCTTTCAGCAGACGTTCAACCTGTGTGGAATTAAGAATTGGTTTACCATCAGATTTCATGAAATTGCGGTGTTTCCACAGTGCCCCCCAGTCGTGCACCACAGAGAAACCATAGCGCGTATCACAGAATATGTTAACAGTTTTGCCCGCTGCCAGCACACAAGCCCTGGTGCGCGTGACCAGTTCAGCGGTTTGTGCTGAATGATGGTGGGGCAAACTACCAGAGTCTATAGTATCAAAATCAGAACACACAGCATAGCCGACTCGGTTCTTCCCAGTGTTGTCACGTGACGCGGCTCCGTCTGTATAAAAAAAATCAAGTCAGGATTAGTCAGAGGCACCTCTTTCAGGTCTGGCCTGGGAGTGCATATCTGTTCTATTGTGGCGATACAGCAGTGTGCCTCCCCTTCCTCTGGCGTGGGCAGCAGTGAGGAGGGGTTCAGCTGTGTGCATCTTTTCACCGTGACATTGGGGAGTTCAAAGAGCACCGTGTTGTATTTCAGCCAACGAGCCGCAGAAAGGTGAGAGGTTTTCTGCTCTAGCAGGATCAGGGAAACAGCATGGGGCACAAGCAAAGTTAGTTCAGTGTATCCCACAAGGTCACGTGATGCTGGGCCGCTTTCTCAGCGGCAGCCACAGCCCGCAGGCAGCGAGGCAACCCTGCTGCCACGGGATCGAGTTTTGCTGAGAAGTAAGCAGTGGGACTCAGTGGCCCTCCGTGAGACTGCAAAAGTACCGACACCATGCACCCACACCGCTCATCCACAGTCTGAGTGAATGGCCGGTTGGGTCAGGGAGACCTAGTGTGTGTGTGTAGATTTGCTGTTCCGTTCATCTCCAGTTGCTTTTCTCCCGGATCGTCCTCAATTCATATTGTGGGCTTTGGTGCCAAGGTGGAGGCTCATTTCCTCCTGATCCATACTACTGTCATCCCTGAAGCAGGGGTAGTTTATCTCTCATCTGAAAAAGAAATATTAGAACACAAAAAACACAAAAAAAAGCCCACTTTCGCTTGTCAATCTTTTTTCCAATTGGGCAAAACATAACTGCATTGACAGACGGTGTGTGACATCAGGGCGGAGGCTGTAGCCAAATACAGAACAACAAAATGTATGTTTCTAATTTTATACTCCCCTAAATGTGAGTTTACAAACCAAAGTTGTCCTTCAACCAACGACAGCTCACTGCGGTTGGACCGACTCACTGTCAGGGCAAACAGCAGAGGCAGGGACTCCCAATGTCTTCAGCAAGGCATTTCATCTCAGAGTACTTTCCGCAGAGTACTCTTCTCAGAGTACTCATCCCAGAGTACTCTCACTTTTACACCTGTTCAATAAAGCTTGTTATCTTTGAATCTCTAGTACTTACACCGTATGCTGTTGACAAAAAATAATTATTCCATGATCACATTAAAACATTACAGACACATTTGTTATTCCATTCTCCGTTCAGCATTCCTCATTTCACTCCTCATTTCACACATCACACTCATATCACAGTCACATCACAGTCACATCACAGGCCGATTCCCTACGTTAGTATTTTGGTCCAGTTTGTTAAGGTCAACGTAGTGTACTTTGACATGACGCACAAACATATAACATACACAAACATATAACACACACAGAAGGCCTGTAATTTTAACTTTGTTACATTTTTCCATGTCCAATTACAATTGTCTCATGAGCTATTATTGTTGCAACATTCAGAGCCTGCAGAACATGCAGAGCTATAAAAGATTTTTCCTAAAAGGATCCATTTCCAACTTTAGTGTTTACCATGTGGTCTATACTCGGGCTTATCACCGATTGTGTCCCCTATATCTCTACTGAGCTCTTGTTACTTAAAAATGTTTTTTTTTTTTCCTTCTTTTTTCTTTTTCAATAAAGCCAGGTCGGATTCATTAAAAATGTAAATTAGTCTCAAACTTTAATACTTCACCTTTGTTTCACGATAAAATGTTTTTGTTGCTCATTAAGTAGCACA